ACAAAAGCAGAATTGTTTTATTTCTAGATCGGCTCTGATCTCAAGGCAGTAAAACTATACAATTCCCAGAATTCTCAAAACTGAAATTTTCCCAAACCTAAAGTTTCCAGTAAAGCAAAATTTACTCCACAGACTACATCAATAGTTCTAGGAGTGGGCAACAGGAAGAATTGTCAAGGGTACAAGTGTTTCCCAGAAAGGAAGGATATGAATAAGATCTCCCTTTATTTCTCCCCATCCCAAAAGGCCAACAAAACCAAACAAAAGATCTCAAAAGCTACGTTAGTATTTAGCTTGCATTTCAGCAAGTTGTTTTTGTGGGAAAGTGAAAACAAGTCAGTGAAGGAGCATCTGTGTAAATACACAAGAACCAAGCACCCATCACAGCAGGAGGAAAAGTCACCCCCTGGGTCAGTGCGCTCCAGCTCTCACCACCACTGACCAAAACTCCAGGAGCAGTAAGCAAATTAATGAGTTTGAACTGAAGACCACCAGAATTTGTTACCAAGAGGCTCTCCTTTAAGGCCAAAAGTGGTCACAGAGAACATCCAACCTACCCAACATGAGGGTCCTCTCTGGTGGCAGGAGGGGGTTGGACACCTACATGATCAGACTGGAAGATCCAGCTTCAATTCCACAGGCAGACTTGAAGACTCTGAGCTCTGGGGTCTGTTTTCCTCAGAAATCAATAGGAAAGCACAGACAAAATTTGTCCCCATCAGTCCCCACCCAGGGTTTGACAGGAGGCAGTGAAAGAATCAGAGCAAGGGTTAAAAAAGTTGCCTAAAGGTCAGCAGGCTGCTTATGTGAAGGAAAGAACAAAAAAAGTCTTCTTAGAAAAGCAGTGTGCATTTAAAAAATAGAAATCGAAACTAAAATTATTACATACTCCAGATTTTCCCACAATAATCCAGTTATTTCACAATGGAGTTTTGCAGCAGCACTCTAGCCTTGCAAAAGGTCAACTCCATCTGTGTTCTTTGCAGATTGCATTTATGAATAGACAGTTCATCAAAACCTAAGGAAATGCAGCATATTATTTAGTTGAAGCTTTTTTTCCCCCAAGTGTGGAAATTGAAGCTGCATCTAATGTTCACCTGTTTGAAACTATTCCAGACAAAACAGCAGCAATCCCAGGAAAACCCATCCAAATTTCCATCACGCACAGGACGCAAGGGGACCACATCACTCCAAATATCCACTTAGCCCAATAAGCTGCCTCTAACTCTGACCAAAAACAGATGCTCAGGGAAAGACTATAAGGTCACAAAATCATACTGTGATTCTGCCTGCAGAATAATCCTTGTTTCCAGGAATCTGTGATTTAGGAGCCGCTTCAGCTAGAAATTGTACCTGCATCTTTGTGATTAACAACCCCCGGCGTTTTCTCTCCTGATTTGCCAAATAACTTTTAAAATTCATTTATATCTTTAACAGGAAGACATTGGAGTAATGAGCTCCACAGATAAATAATGCTTGTGTGAAGCAGGAGCATAATTTAGCTATAGAAGATTTGTTTTTATTGAAGAGGATCTTAGGGAAAAAAAAATCTTTGAATCTTGCTCATTTACTCTTACCTCTTTAACATCTTGAATTATGTGAAATTATAAATAATTGTTCCCTGTTTACTCCACATCACTCAGATTGTTCCCGCTCCTGCATTCTCCTCTCTAATGATCTCTCTTAATTGAAAGAGAGATTCATTCAAGGAACCTGGTTACTGTTACACCATGCAAACATCTGACCTGGCACACACCACAGGCTTTTCCCCCCATCCAAGATAATTGATTTGTCTGAATATATAATGTAGTGCAAAACAACCTAAGTTCAAAACCATCTAGGAATGTTTCAAGAAAAAGTAATTAACATCTAATTTTCTACAGTCTTTAGAAATTACTTGGTAAAATATTTGTAAGTTGAAAGAATAGTTTAAAGGGTTTGAAAATTACCTCTGGCTGTGCAGCTTTTTAAAGGACTGAAGTTTTTGATTATGAAAAATTTGTAATCCCTTAATATTTCAAATAAATAGAGCAAGACCCTTCTTTATATCACTCCAGAGTAGGTTTTTGATGAGTTACTGTAAATACAATTATATTCCTAAAAGTGTTTACCCTGGCACAGCGAGGCATGGAGGCCACAGGGGTGCCAAAAGTCAAATGTGCCTCAGGAGGTGACAACCTCAGGGCAGGACAGACAGATTGCACATCCACAGTGCCTTGCAGCTCACAAGATACCCAATGTCCAGGGAAGATAGAGAACATCTGACAGCAACAAAGACTCTATCAGCAAAGCTTCCTTACTACTGATCCCTGAATTGGACCAAAACCATCTGCCCACGCAGCAATCAACCCACTCCGCGGCTATGCTGGCGAACCTGTAGTTACACCCAAGCTAATTCCTCCAAGGCAGAAATTACCAGGTATATAAAAAGGTGATCAATCATTTGATCTAACATGGGAGACTTGGCCCAGTTTCTCTTATCACTCTTGGTCTTCATTAGAACCTTCACACAGAAGACAAGGGGGAGTTAATTTTCATGTGGATCACAGAAAATCTTCTATGGATTACAGTGGGATACACAAAGAAAGCCTTGACATTGAGACATGTAAATTGTCCAAATATGAATATTCCATCTGGTTCTATGATGATGTTACAGCATCAACATCTAAGGGAACAGAGGTGCACTCAGGACCAGCTGTTACACTGATACGTGATTTAAAATCAGAGTTCATGGCACTCATGGCTCCAACATCCCCACAATCCTGAAAAGACTAGTTAAGCCTTAAGAAACAGACCCCTTGGGCCCAGGGAACATTTAAATGCTTAAGCTGAATAGGAAATAGTTGAATAGATTGAAAAAAAAAAATGTTCTTTTTCTTCTAAACATGCTCCTATGCAAGCGTGTTATCTAATAAGTACAACTGGAAGTAAAATGGGAATGTGGGAAGGGTGCCAACATAAATCCTCCAATTCTGAGGAAATCAGGAGCAATTTTCCACTCAAGGGTGGAAACAACAGAGAGGAAATGCAGAGCATACTTGGCATGCTTTGCTCTCCTCTGCTGAGGTAAAGGTTCCCTCTCCCCCGTGCCCAGGCAGAGGGACCCCAGGGGATGAGACCCCCAACCCTCTGCACTTTGGGAGCCTGGAATTCAAAATCTCATACTAGAATTAGTTCATGGTACAGGTGATGGGCGAACGAAACAGTTAAAACCGAAAATTCTCACAATGAAGTGACAGCAGAAGTTGTTGCACACATCCTGTCTGAATTTGACAGCCACTGGTGGGGGCTTCATGCCAACCTTCTGCTGTCTATGAAAATTATAGATAAAATGGGCAAATATGCACAGTGCAGACTCAAGGAGGAGAAGCAGACACTCAGTATTGCCTGGAAATGTCATTGGGACCAACCAAGAAAGTTCTGGGGTGAGGATCATCCTCTGGCCCAAGCCACACACACAACCTGAGTCCAGCTCCACCAAATCCCACTGAACTTCAACATCCAAGGGGCAAACACTCTTCTCCCCAGGAGAGTTCCTTGGCTAAGCAGGTAGATTTTTTAAATAATCATCTGTTCAAGTAAGAGGTAGAGTTAGTCCAAAAGCAGCTGCTTACATTACCAAATGCAAAAGACACTGGGGAAAAAAACAAACCTTGCAGTGAAATGAGTGAAATTGAGCCAGTTATGGTTCTAATTACCTTGAATGACATGATAAGCAACACTTCTAGCACTGGCACAGCCTCATGCACTGTCCCAGGAGGGGATGATTACAGGAATCCCTGGGCTGTTGAGACACCCACCTTCCTGTCTATGACAGCAGTGCCTCTCCTCATGCCCTTGTTTATAATTGACACCTTAAACCCACACATCTACAAACTATCCCAGAGCTCCTTTAATATAATCAAAGCTAAACTTGTCTAAATTGCACAAAATTTGCCATTCTTATTTTTTAAAAAGCGCAAAATTGTTTAAATGAAAATTTATATCAAATGAAAATTTCCTCTCTGCACTGCACCACTTTTGTTTTTTTCTTTCCACAGGCAAAGTGAAACTACACATACTGAATCCATCTTCAGGATACAGCACATGCAAGTTTATTTGCTTTATGATAAGCTATTTTATGATGGCATTGAACAGCAGCAAGAAATCAAACAAGTAAGATTATTACTCAAATACACTCATTCATCTTGACAGCTAAATCGACTCACTCAACAGTATCTTTTCTGAGAATTACTGCAAAATGCATGACAAATTCTACACTTTAATCACAGTAACCTAATAGTATATAGATATCCAGGTGAGAACTTTTATTTTCTCAATGCCATGTAGCAGCAATTCAGCTATCAGTGAGCTTTGACCAACTGTCATAAAACTAAGGACACCAGCTGGACCCCTGCCAGTTGCCATAGTTGTGCTAAGCAAATATCAATGAAAATTCACACTAGTACTCATTACAATCGTACGAACAGCTCTTAAAAAAAAAAAAAAAAACCAAAAAAAACCAAACAAACTGTGTCTTACACACTACAATTTCCATCAAAGTTACCCTTAAAACAACCCCGCTATGTCAATGTACTAGCGTGAATGTTCCACTTTGTTGTTTGTTTTTAGTTGAGGGATTGTTTTATTATTACGATTAAGTGGCTTATTTATTTAGTCAAAGCCAACAGCCAACCAACTCAATTTCAGCCAGCAAGTGCACACATGGGGATGCGCCGGCTCATTGAGAGCTGCCTGAGGAAGCCGAGAATTTCCCCAGCATCATTTTCTCACACCAATGGCAACAAAAAGCATTATTCGCACACGGTGCGAGTCCCAGGGGCAGCATCACACAGCCAAAAAAGAGAAGTAACCCCGAGCGTGCCCAGCAAAGTTCGTCCTGCGGGGCGCCCGGGGAAGCACCAGCAGCGGAACAGAGAGAGCGACCGAGCCGGCAGAAACGCGCCAGACCTCAAAACAGCAAACAAACAACGAGAAAAAAACCCAAACTAAAACCCGAACTATAGAACCTCCCTCCCCGAACCCGCCGGGCTGCCCTGTCCGGTGCCTCTCCCCACCTTTACCTGCCGGCCGCGCCCGCCGCCCATCGGACCCGCTCCCGGCCGGGCACGTGTGGCTGTCGCCGCTGTCACCGCCGCCCCGTGTGGCCCCGTCCCTGTCCCTGTCCCCGTCCCCTCCCGCCTGCCGGGGCGGTGCCGCCGCCGGCGCCTCCCTGCGCGCTCCGCTGCCCGCCCGCCCCCGAACGGCCGGGGCTGCCCGCAAACAGCCCGCCCCGCCGGCATCCGCTGCGCACCGCTTCCCCCTGGGCATCCGCTGCGCGCCGCTTCCCCCTGGGCATCCGCCCCGCACCACTTCCCCCTGGGCATCCGCTGCGCACCGCTTCCCCCTGGGCATCCGCCCCGCACCGCTTCCCCCTGGGCATCCGCCGCGCGCCGCTTCCCCCTGGGCATCCGCTGCGCGCCGCTTCCCCCTGGGCATCCGCTGCGCGCCGCTTCCCCCTGGGCATCCACTGTGCACCGCTTCCCCCTGGGCATCCCTCTGCGCACCGCTTCCCCCTGGGCATCCCCCTGGAGGATCCTACTGGAGCATCCCCCTGGGGCATCCCCTTGGAGCATCCTCCTGGGGGATGTTACAGGAGGATCCTCCAGGAGGATGCTCCACGGGGATCTTTCAGGAGGATCCTCCTGGAGCATCCCCCTGGGACGGCCCCTTGGAGGATCCCCCTGGAGCATCTTCCTGGAGGATCCTCCTGGAGGATCCCCTTGGAGGATGCCCGTGGAGTATCCTCCTGGAGCATCTTCCTTGGCATCCCCTCGGAACATCCCCCTGGAGGATCCCCCCGAGGCATCCCCTTGGGGCATCTTCCTGGACCATCCACCCGGGGCATCCCCTTGGAGCATCCTCCTGGAGCATCTTCCCCAGACATCCCCCTGGAGGTTTCCCCTGGAGCATCCCCCTGGAGGATCCACCTGGAGCCTCCCTCTGCAGGTCCTGTCGCTCACAGCATCATCCTCCCCGCTCCCAGACCTGCATCCTGCCCGCCCACTCCACACCAAGAACTCCCACTAAAACCAGCACCCCAGGGACATCAGGGAAGGTGGTGGTAAAGGGCAGGGACTGGCAGCACTGCCCTGGAGAGCCCTGGGTGAGGGTGGAGCTAGGAAGGAAACGACACGAATGACGACAGGCCAAGGGAAATACAACCAACAGCAGCGCTGCTGCCACGTAACACTTGTTCTTGGCTGCATCTCCCAACAGGTTTTTTTGGCAGCATCTCCAGGTGCCTGACAAGGGAGCCAAGAGCTGCACCCGCGTTGCGGGCAAGGAAACTGAGACAGGACTGGGTAAGATGAGGAGCTTACCTGGTGTGTCTGCCCCTGAAACGTGGTCCCACACGTGTTTCTTCATGAGTTTGCCACAGTGTGGAAAGGCACCTCCCAACAACGCCTTCAGTGCCAGGGAGTTTCTGGAGCAGGCTGGGTCACGCACCTTCCCGGAGAGCTCACCCAGTCACCACTCCCACCTGCCCTGTTCAACATCCCTGGAGCGTGGTATCACTGCAGGAGGTGCAGAACAATGAAATGGGGAAGGACAGGCTTGTGGTGGAACATGTTTACATTCCATACGTGTCATTCTGATCAGAAATTGCACCTCTCGCAGCTGACGTAGCGACACCCATCTCACACCATCGAGTGAAACTTGGTGATGTAACCACCTTGTGTCATTGCAAAACAGAAATGGTCGTGTGGGAAGGGTGTCACAGCTCAAAGAATTGTTCTCTAACCACTGAATAAAAATGTGGGGAAAACATGAAAAGCCACGATTCCAATTCTTTCAGCAAAATCTGGAGAGGAAGAATTCACACCTATGCACAATCCAATATGGATTCACAAAAGAAGGACCAGGAGCTATCAGTTCAGGAGCTGGGAGCGACACATCAGGAAAATTATTACATGAACACGTGAGCAATTTTAGAGGAACTGGAAAAAAAACCTGGCAATGCTTTATTTTGCCTCCTGACTTAAAGGTCATGTTTGAAGGGCCAGATCCTGATGTTCCAGCACAAGCTCAACAACAACACTGGTTACTGCAGACAGTGTTACAGGTATACAGCAACTCCTAAATTGCATAAACCCTCCCAGAGTTTGTCTGCATGATGAATAGGACAGCTTTACTCAGCTCATGCAATCAAAAATCTAAGGGGAAGTTGGCTGAGATCAGAGAGCTAATCAACGAGCTCAGCTGAAAACAGAGAAGAAAGGAAACTTATGGCACTAATGTTTTTGTTTTCCTTTCATCTAAACCAAGAAAAATATCAACTTCAGATAATTAGGTAAGTTTAGAACTAAAACAACACAACCTTTAAAACACTTTTCTCTTAGGTGTGTGATCCCACAAAATGTGTATCAAATATAGTTCTGTGCATATTTTGTCAAAGACTGCAGCCAAGACATGCCCAAAGGCAATCTAATAAAGGTGGCTGCTGATTTAGGGAGCAGCAAAGGAAAGCAGCCTGTGTGTGCCTCTGCCAAAATGAAATGTAACAGTGCTCCTTGGATGCAATAGCAGAAAGAGATACAGAAACTAAATTCTCATAGCCAATATGAGAAAAGCTTGCCACGACATAGTCGCAATAAAGAGATAAATTGATTAACTGTCACAAGATTACCCAAATATGGGCTCTGCAAAACATGAGCTTGAGAAATTTTCTTGTCTTAGGCATCACGTAGCTGTATTAAAGATGCTGATAAGGCCACAGAATGCTGAATATCAAGTTCTTTGTTACTTCACTGCTAACTAAGAAAAAAAGGAAGATTACTGGGAAGATCCCTGGCATAGGAGCTTTACATCACTGGCAGGCTAAGGGGAAGAGAGAAGGAAACACAAAACTTTGGAAATGTCACCAAGACATCAATCTGAGGGTATTTTTTGGATGCATCTAATGTAATCTGAAATCATCAAGAGCCAAGATGTGCATTATTATAACAATAAGTCATTAAGTATGACTTAAAGATGAGCACTAATTAAATCCCCCTGTAAAACACTTTGTCAAAAAAAGAAAAAAACTGCACAGTGAAAAATACAGCAAACAGAAGAATTTCAGCAAGAGAAATTGAAATATGTAAGTCTAAACAAGATTTCTTATTAGCTTTCCATACTCACAAGGAGTCCCTGTACACCTTCTCTTCGTGCACACAAATGTTTTTCTTCTGGATTTTATTAAAAATGTCATTATCAATTCCTGTGAGGGAAGAGAAAATATATAATTGAGAACCATAGTTGGCGTTATCAAATCCTACTCATCTTTTGTGTGAATATCTCATTTTCTCTGGAGGGAAAGAAGACCTGTCTTCTCAGCAAAGGAAAAAATCACAACTTTTCTTATTTGCCTGCATTTTCTTACCCTGTACTCTGAAATGCTGTATGCTGAAAGAAAAAATTACCTTCTCAGCCTTTACCAAAACCTGGCCAATGTGGATCAGTGTGAGGCTGCTGAAAATAATGAGTTTAGCTCCTTTCTTAATTGCAGGTTCAGCTGCAACCTTTCAGAGAGGCACCAAGTGATGCATTTATATCCAGCCCACCCCTCTGCACAGCCTGTTTGCAGCAGCATTTCTTCAGGGTTGTGAGGAAGAGGCATGAGGGCTCAGAGAGATCAAATCACAGAAGAAAAGAGTCACAGAATGGTTTGGGTTGAAAGGAACCTTAAACCTCACCCAGTTCCAGCCTGGGCAGGGGCAGCTCTCACTAGAACAAGTTGCTTAATCCACTTCAGCCTGGCTTTGGACACTGCCAGGGATGGGGCAGCCACAGCTTCTCTGGGCACCCTGTGCCAAGGTCTAATCAATCTCACAGGAAAGAATTTCTTGTGTATATCTAACCTGAATTTCCCTCCCATGTAAGTTAAAACTCCTTTTCCTGACCTGGCTGGTAGCATGTCTGCTAACAAGTCTTTGGAGCTCCATCAAGTTAAAAGCTTGTCAGTAACTCCTCCTCTTATCTCACCTACAAGTGGAAGGTGTTCACTGGAAGCACCACCAGAAGCTTTGAAGATGTTCTTATCAGGATTTTGAGCAATTCTGTTTGCACCCACGTGCTCACCACCAGCTTTGCTGACGTGTTTACAGCACTTGGCTTGGCAGATTGCTTGGGACATTTGTGAGCCCGGGACACAGCCCCTCAGCCAAGCAGCTGATAAAGGCTTTTCAAAACCCCAAAAATGAAATCTCCTGCAAGAGTTGAGTGTTATGTTTCATTTCTTTTGGACAGGTGGGTCCCAGCGACCTGGTGACCCCAAAATACAGAATTACGAGTCCCTAAGTTGCAGCCCATTTTCTTTGCAGCTAAACACCTGGTTTACAGGCAGAATTTGGAGCACAACCAAGGGTGTGTTTGCTCCCAGCTCTCAGTGTTAAGCCATTCCCAGAACACAAACTAAGCCAACTGCAAGGTTTAAGTCATTCTGTGCAATTGCACAAATAAATGCACTCAAGACTTTAGGAGACTTAAGCATGCCAGCAAGTCTGGGATTAATAAATGAATAATGATAATTAGTTATGGCTTGACTACCTTCTTTCAGCTCCAACAGGTTACCTTGAAAAACCACATATTTTCAATCCCACTTAATGTCATTATGATTCACCTTATCAGTTAAACGTGTGATACATTCTTGAGGGCTGGATTCTCTGCCCTGAAATGTCACTGACCATTTTTTTGTCTCTGCCCATGTGGCATTTCCGCAGCTAACCTGAGTTTAAACTTCTCAGAAATGAAACCATCACAGCCTCAACCTTCCTCCTCACTTTTTTCAATCCCATGCCCATGTTTGTGTGCAGCTTCACCATTTGAGCAGCACTGACAACATTTCCATCAGCTGTACAAGGAGAGAAAGAACAAAGATGTGAGACAATTGTTTCAACCGCTCAGGATTCATTATTAGCTTTTAAATGCCATTTTAACAGGCTGTATTTTGTGACAGAATTTATAATTCAGAATCTATGCAGTCATTTTCCTGACAAGCCATTGAGCAGCAATGCTGGGGACTGTTTCTAGTGCAAACAATGAGCTTTTAGAACATTTGAAAATTCAGCCTCTGGTTCATCCCAAGAGCAGAGCAGAGCTGAGCAGTGGGTCTGTGGGCTCCTGAGACCAGATGACAACTTCTAGAACAAAACTGTAGTCAGGATTTAAATAAGGGGTTGTATCCAGGAATCTCCAAGGAATTTATCATCATTAATCAATGCATCCTTATACATCTCAGAAGTATTGTCAGAAAAAAAGGCTGATAGAAGCAAAGGGTTGTTTTTTTTTTTTTTTTTAATGATTGGCTCAGAATTAGACAGGAAACCAGTGAGAGTCAGGGATAAAACATGAAATCTTGATCCTTCCAGTAATATCAAAGTGTTTGGTAGGGGAGGAGATGATGAGTGACTTATTTTGGTTGGGGTTTTCTGCTTGTACTCCTTGGAAAGGGAAAACTGAACCCTGGTGTTTGCAGCTCCCAGCCCCAAGCTCTTACCAGAGCTGCAGTGAGACATTTGGTCCTTTAAAGAGGGGAGGTTGGCACCTCACAAGCTATGCAAATAAGTTATGAACACAGGGTGGGAAGAATGAAGAAAAAAAAAACACCAAAACAACACCGAAAAAAAAACCCAAAAAAAAACCAAACCAGTCTTTGAATATTTTTGCACAATTTCCCCTCTATATCCTCTTCCCATTCCTTCAAGTACAGAGTTGTTACAAGTTGATTACTGGTGTGCCATCACCTCTGCTTTCTCACAAAGTGATCATCCTAAGAAGAAGCAGCAAACACAAACTAGAGATTTATAGTGTGCTCCAGACCTAGTCCTGGATCTAGAGA